ATATATATATATATATATATATATATATATATAAGCAAGTTCTGTTTGTTGTACGAGTAATAGCGCCTCGAGGTGAACAAAAAACAAAGTGGGTTAATTTTTTTTGATGGGATTTCATTACTTTGTCGGCAAAGCTAAATTATTTGTATCTCTACGATCGTCATCAATCGCACAACTTTTGATGATATTTGACGGCAACTTAATAATGGTGTCTGTTAAAATGCAGGTGAGTTTGACATAAACTGGTCACATCAGTTCTAAAAATTTTTCTATGTTCACTTCCATCAAATCGGTTGCCCATCAACGGTTTCGTTACTTCACTACTTCGTGTCCTGAAGATGCACATCGGAGTTCACTGGGTCAAAACTTTCTTCTCACGGAAATTTATTTTTTTGACATGTTCATAGTCTATGCATAGATTAAGTCTTTTAGCAAAATTCAAAAAAAAGGAAATAAAGATGGGTGGTACTGATGATAGGTCTATATCTGTTCTCGAAATCTCTGGAAGATGGTTATGTAGTATTTTTTTACAATGATTGAATTTGGAATGGCAGAACAGCAAAGTATTTTACTCGTTTAAGCTTCGCTTGTACTTCTCGTCGTTTCTGCAAGAGATACAGTACGAGAATTTGACGGTAACGCTACGGTGCAGTATTGTCGCAGACGGTCTTAAACATGAAATTTGGCTGTTATGTTTGCCTTATATGTAACAATTGGCAGGTGATCAAAAGACCTTAAAACTGCTTTATAAACTCATCAAGTACTGAGGGTACTGATTCAGTAACATAAGGTTTGAATTAACGTAACGGTTAATTAAGGTGGCGGTTTTGTAAGGTGCCTGAATTACTTAATAAGACATCTCGTTTGCTTTATGAATGTTACAAAGCATATTCAGTAGTTACCCGATTTACCCATTTACGGTCATTTGATCGAACAGCAGTCCACTTAATATAGCAATTTTCTTTTATTTCATATTAATAGCAGCTTATTTACTAATAATTAGGCATTTAACCCTCCTTCATTTGGCAAAGGAAGCATCTTTGCTTCCCACCGTGGGTTTGTTACGTCCTCTTTAACAACGAACAAATTCTGGCAGCTGGAAAGTAGTTCTTTCACACTCAGCTGGTATTGTGTTTTCGTTTCTGTTTTGCCGAGAAATGTTCAGTAAAAACCGTAGGCCAATAACAGTTTGCCTCAGAACAACAGTTAAGTTGCCGCGATATTTTTAAGCAGTCTGATGAAATCTTAGTCCAAATATTATTTTAATACCGGTAAGAACGCAAAAAAAACTAACCGTTTTGTCTATAAATTTTAACTTGAACGGAAACATTTTTTCCATCAAACTGTCCCAGAATGATGAGGTTTTGTTTTTTCCCCATTTTCCGCCTTTTACAGAATAGTAACAGTTAAAAGATGCGCGCCTTAAAAAAGAGCATTGTGAGGTTTTTTTTGATGAAATTGCAGTTCCTGCCCATCAGCCACACCTAACTGTATTGAGGAGGTGGGAGCCTCTCGCAGTTATCGCATTATCGCTGTCGTATGCCTCGCCAAAAATGCACTGCCAGCGATATCATTTTTGCGAGTACCCGCGTGGACGATAATAGTCTCGTCTGCCATCCCTAGTTGGAATCATTCAGCTTTGTGTCCGGGCTAAATGCCAATAAATGTGAAAGGAGTTTCTTGTCTCCTTTAGCCCATAGATTTGACGTTTCGTTGTTGTTACGTCGTTATATGGACTCGGTACTTTTTTCTTTTTTTTTCTTTTTTTTTGTTTCTTTCAAGATGAGCACAAAATTATCATCGAACTCTTACGGCCTCTGCTGGGACAAGGTGTTTCATATGTGTATTCAATACTAAAAATGGCCTCTTTCAAACGGCATTTCTTATCCTGTTTGTTGTCTCATTTAATTTTTTTCAGCAGTTTTCTGGGAATTTCATACAGTCTGCTGTTTCTTCCTATCACTGTAAGTTCTAGGTTTATTCTTTGTTCCAATTTTTATTTGATTATAATTCCTGATGACATAGAAACTATACTAAAGTAATGTAGTTTATTGTCTGCCTGACGTCAGTAAATGTAATTCTGATTTTTTGATAGGTGAGGGAAACGGAACGTACACTTTCTTTGATTTTATAATCTTAGCTGATCAGACGGTATGGTTTGGGTGTTCATTATAACAACACTTGATTTTGAATCTTAGACTTTACTTAGATCAGGAAATAGCAAAGTCTTTTGTCTTTTTTCTTTGATTTGCTGGTTGCAGCATTAGGTATTTTGCAGCTTGGCCAAAGTACGAGAACGGTAAAAGTGGTAGAGCGCTAGATTCTCGTGTTACCATGGGTTTCAGAGGTCGAGGTGGGATGCATGGAATACGTATGCCAAGAGGTGGTGGACGTTTTATGTACGGTAGGATAGTGAAAGGAAGAAATTATCAGCGGAGTCGGCCTTTCGAGGTTAGTGAGCTATTCTTGTTTTCTGGTTACTTTTACTTGAAAAACGTAGTTAATCAAAATCACGCACCCTTTTATCGCTCATCGGATTTTAGTTCAAAAAGCTTCCGGAATCTGCCAAATATAAGGAATTTGCGGTTGCACCGGAAAACATTGTTTGCTTTTCTGGTTTTCAAAATGTATTTACTGCTCAGCACGATGTACGTTCTCTTTGACCTCTTCTTCATTTTCACTTTTTGTGCCGTTATATCTGCGTGGCTATTTATTTGTTAGAATTCATTCTTTGGACAGTAGACCTGACGAACCCGTTTGATGAATCCATCAACTATTTTGTTGATTAGGATAAATAGAGAAAATTACGATATCCTGCGTGACTGTTGTGCTGTGACCTTTCGCTTTTGAGGATAGCTTCTCTTTAGTTCCCCGTAAAAATCGATGGCCGTGTTTATGATAACGTTAACCATTACTACCAATTAGCGAAAACGGAAGCCCTATGTGGCGTTACATCGTTGTTGATGACTGAGGGGTCGGAGATGGTAGTTGGCCAGAAGTCGAAGGATTATAATACATTAGCCAAAAACATTTTGAAAATCAACAAAGTTTGTCAGTTTCTTTCTTTAACGTTAAGTTCCTTCCTGGAAAATGTGACATCTATGAACAATTTTTAAATAATTGCAAAAACCACTAGAATTTAGGTAGATCGGGACGCTGCGGAAGAGTGGCGTCGCACTGCGGGTCTTGAAGCAATGCAGGTAAAATTTACATGTTTTTTTCATTAGAAGTAGAGAATAAGAGTAACATCCTTCACCTTTTGGCATTTTCTTTTGATTTTTGAAAACTAGAAGCAGTGAGCTTCTTTTTCATCTGAAGCTTCATTAGTAGAAAATTGCAGCGGGCATTGTTAGCAAAGGTTGAGCAGTGCCAGGAGTTGAGGAAGGCTTTGTTGGAATCTGAAGATAAATTACTGGTTCATTGCTTTGGAGGTGACGACTTTTATGCAAGTGGTTGCAATCATAAATATATTCAAGATTGGGCTAGGAGTATGAAATCGAATAAAGTGCAGTTGAAGGTTTGCTTTTTTAGTGAAATTTACCAGTTAAATTGCTTTTTTAGATTATTCGTGTAAAGTAAAGGAAGGTTGTTGAGTTTGAGGAGAAGTTATATTACCAAGTTAGCAAGAGGAAGTTTTAGTTGATATCATTCTTCATCATCTCTTTAAAACTGCGGATTTTTCTATTAATTTTTGTTTGTTAACTCAACTTATTTTCGCTGTTACTGGCAGGATTTTTAGATCCCTCTGGAATTTCCACTGACTTCAGAAATGGTGTATTCAATACCGAAATTTGGGCTTGGTCGGAATGTATTAGGCGTTATCTACATCCAGTTGCGTGAAATGGTTTGTTTCTGTAAAACTCATGATTACTGCAAGTGTTAACAACTTAAGCCGAAAGGCCATGAATCATTTTTAATTCTATTATAATTTCAGTTAAGAGGTGACCTTTTGCCGTTTAAAGGAGCTGTTAAATCGGTGAGGGTTTTTTACTGTGGATAAAGCTTCATTTGCTTACATTTCGCTGTTTTGATTTTATGCCGTTGTAAATATTCATTTTTTTTTTTACTTTACTAAAAGATTTTCTTTTCCAACAGGTCAGCGACGAAGTCACTGAAGATATGCAATCTGACGAACTTACGGGTCCAACTATAGTGCCCAGTGTTCCTGCTCCTTTAAAAGCAAGGCTTTTTTTGATTTTATAATCTTTGTTGTCTTAAAATTATATGTCATGTAAAAATGCAGTTCATCTCACCAAAATTTAAAGAAGTTTTTGGGGATCATTGTTATTATTCCGAAGGACACTTTAGTTCGTTTTAGATTGATTCACGGGAATCGAATTCCAGTGAAGGATTTGTTATTGGAGGTGGATCAGTTCAGGTAAGCAATCAATTTGGAAGTTTCATGGGGAAGTAGCAGTTCCTTCTCAATCTCTTGTAGCTTATTTAGTAACATTTTTTGTTTGACAAACCTCCCATCTCTGCATTGCCTATTTCCTCTATTAACATATAACAGTTATGTTTGTTAAGTGTCTTATTCTGCAAATCAGTAGGTATTTAATGTTTGAAAATTGATATTGCCTTGCAGAAAATTTCTTCAAGCAGGGCTATTAATGGTAGTACGTCACGTAATATCGTCTCTGTTCCTTATGAATATATGCCATCCTTCGGTCATGAATAGGTCAGTTATTTTATAACGTTTTAGAATAATAGATGTCGTCATTGTTTTCTGATCTCCAGGTGCCTATCTCCTCTTTTTCATCGTTGTTTTTTTTTCAATAGTAATTTTTATTTCGTGTGTTTTATGCTCATTGTCGTTTCAAAATATATGAAGGTTTTATAACTGTACAGTAATCCTCCCTTTTTTCGTCTTTTCAAAGTCTTCTAGTTTTGCGTGGGGAACTGTTACAATTAATGCCGGTTTTTAAAGACGTATTTTTTGTTTTATAAATTTATATGAGCTTTTTAGGTGTGCTAGAAGGTTCGGATGGTAAGATCTCAGTTATTACTGCTTATTGCGGTTGGCGTCTCCTGCGACCCATTTTTTGAATCTATAAATTTGTTTATTTATTTTTCCTAATTCCTTCTTTTTGAGTACTGCATTTTTCGTATCGTGCTGTGCTTGATTATACCCGGACAACTCACTGTTCTTCTTTAAGCAGACTTCAAAGCTTATTCGCTTTCATTGGTTTTGTTACGAAGGGTAATTATTGAGCTGAAATTTTTCTCAAGGTTTTGTGATCAAACGTAATGGTTTAATGTTTTATTGTGTATAGACGTTTGACACTGGATAGGGGACTTTTTAGTTTTCCTTTTTCTCATTTATTTGCTCGTCACTAAATAGAGAAGTCATGGCGCTTAATAATAGTAAACTTAGAGCCAGAAAAAAATTTTATTTGTAGTCAAAATATAAACGAAGATGGTTTTTAAATTAGCATTTAACTAATGGGTTAGGATGATTTTTCTATTTATTTTCCGGTGATTTTGAATGAAATGTTTTGTGTTAATGCGAACAGGTATTTATTTTATAGGTTATTTCTTTATTCGCAATGTCTGAATATTGAACTTCGGTGCGTTTACACCAGATCTATATTTTGTAGTGCTTTTCTCTTCTTGTTAATTTTGTTGCTAAATGTTTATTCTTGTTTTACACTTTGTTGTTTTGCCTCTTTTGGTACATTTATTTTGTATAGTTCTTATGTGTTAGCCTGAAGTCGCGCCGAACTTAAAAAAAAAATGTTATCTATATCTGATGATTCATACTTTTGATTTTTGTTCTGAGCAAGATTATTTGTGAACCAGGTTCAATAATGTACTTCAAAAGAATATTTCCACAAGAAACGTTTCTAGTTTGCAAACACACGCTTAGACGAAGCGCTTTGTAATTCTAGCCCCTTTTCATCTCGAACATTTCATATTCATCGTAAGTTTTGGCCTTGCACTTTAGCTTTGCATGAAATTATTTTTCTAACCAGGGTTGACACTTATTCACTCTACATAAACCTAGGTTTGTTTTTTGGTGAAGTATGGGAGGATTTGGTTTTGAAAAAGCGGCTTCTTCAGTGTTATATATATTTTTTTATTGAAAATGTGGATTTTATTTTTGTTGTATTTCTGTAGGCTTCTGCTGCAGCACTGATGCTTGTAATTAACATAATTGATCTCTTTAGTTTGAAAATCGAATTGTGTACGGTACTTAATTTTACCACACTTTGTTTATGCTTTGTTAATTGACGTCTTCCATTCATCCGACGGGTTAGGCTAATTCTAATGGGTGGGATTCCGTAAAGGTCTGTTAATTTCAGATTCTGCCTCTTGAAGGTGGCCTTTGCATCTTCAATTTTTTTCTGTTTTTATGCTACTGAATGTTAGGGTTAACTCTTGCTCAATTGTTGGCAGCTGTTTCTTACTTTAATAACTCTTCAGTTTTGGAGCTAGGAGTTTTCCTTTTACATATATTTTGAAATTAATTTTACTGGATTTATTCCACTGGGACGCGAAGGTGGCTAATGTTATGGGAAGTTTCGCTTTGTTGAAATGGAAAAGTTGGTGGTCGTGCTTCGTAGGCTGAAATAACCTTCGTCCGGTTTGAATTTGTGATTTTGCGGCACCTGCAAACTGGCAAGCAGTTTGTTTGAGACTTGACTGCAGGAAGTATTTATGGAAGTCTTTAAATCTTATGAAGTTTAGGAGGAAGGGTACTTATGATGTTTATGCAGAATTTATTTCCTTCAAGAAGTGGTTTTTAAGCTTTTGATCAAGTTTCCGGGAGTTGATGTAGTTGGGTTGTTAAGGGCAGAAGTTGTGTTTCCAGTTATAAGGTTGGTTTGTTAAAGTAATAATTTGGACATCTGATTGTATGTAATATTTTGTTGCCCCCTAGATTTCCTGCTATACTTGTCCTTTGTTATTTACAGGTTATCAAGAAGTGAATTTATTTACTCCGAGATACCGATCATTGGCAGTTGCTAAAATAAAGCTGTGAAATAAGTAGCCAGTAAAAAATTGAAATTTCTTTTTGTTTATTAATGTCGAGTGGGCAGGATTTTTTTGTCATTTACAATACAGTTGAAATGTATGAATGTGTGGCATGTAAAGTGGGAGACTGCGTCCACAGAACGGCGAAAGTTTTGTGTAAAGGTAGTATTTAGTTATGTCTGTTTGATAAAGACTGCGACGATGATCGAGGTAGCAAAGACTGTAGTTATGACAACATGAGGACACCGCTTATAGTTTTTGACATGGATTTGTGGGAAACTGCTGGACGATTTGCGAAAAGTTTATGAGAGAAAACATTCTAATTTACTGACCTACGAAGGCATCGAAATAAAAAGTGTCCGTGTGTTTTGGCAGATTATGCCCGTCGAGTAGAAGAATCGTTGTTGTTTTGCGTATTGTTCCTAGCGAGCCGGATAAAACCAAAGTTGTTTGGGGTGACTGTTACTTATAGAATTTTGCGGAACAGAATGTCACCAAGATCACCGCAAATTTTCCGCAGCAAGGCTGGTAAAAACGCCGTAATATAAACCTAGATCAACACTTGCCCAGGTTCCCAGCCGACCTTGTTACTATAATCCTGGATCCACCGCTAGGAATATTTTCACACTGAACTGGAAATGAACGCGTCGATAGGTTACGACTACAAAACTTGTGCTCTGCCGCTACAATTTCTTTTAAATTTTTCTTGAAAACGAAGTAGTCTAACACATCAATACATTATTGAAACGAGTAGTAATTTTTCACGGAGCTTGTGTGCAGTGCTTCTGAAGTGACGGTCTCTAACAATTTCCACTGATCTGAGAACTATAGGCCTTGCAAGCTGCCCGTTAGCTCAGAACGATGGTTCAGAATCAAACACTTCTACGGAGCGCTAAGCTAAGGATGAGGAATTAAAAGCTTAACGTTTAAAATTGTTAATGCGGATCTAGTTTGGCCCTTGGTTGTTTCGTCGTTACGAATCTTTCACCGATTTATGTTTGCACACCAACTGCTAGTTAATTACTAGTTGACTGTATAATTAAATTAATTGCTAACAGCAACAAACTCTTATGCCATGGTGGGTGTAAGAAGCTCGTCTTTTGTTCAGAGGTAAAAATATCAACGCTGAATTACATTTAAATGCGACCTCTTATTTTACAGTTCTCGGTAGTTTACGATGCTGGATTCCGGACCTTTACCTTTGGAATTCGCAACCTTCAGAGAAAACTGTTTGCCGAAGTGCAGCAAAAATCTTTGACGAACTTTTAGAAGCTGTTGTCCATATATAAAACCTTGAAAATCGGGAGCTTGGAATGATTGTAACACGTTACAATTCTAAAGTACTTTTGATATATTTAGGACCTTTGTTCAGGGTTAAGCTTAAAATTGCTAAAACGCTGCAGAAATGAATCCTGTGCATTAATTTATTCGCTGACTGTACAGTTTTCTGAGTCTAAAAGCCTTAAAGGTTTTCTTGCTTAAGCAGAATGATGAATGATGTAATCGGTTTGGGGCTAGATTAATGAATCTAAGTCAGTGGCTGTTAAAGTCGGCAATGTTATCCAAACACTGGTTTAGATCTAGTAATTTAACGTTTAAATTACAAATAAAAACCCCAATTAAATAAAGAAGTAGCCTTCTAACGCGTAACTCATTAAAATTTGAAACTCTCCTGAGCTAATATACTTGGGAGAATGTCCGACTATCTTCTCATTCTGACGACTAAAACGGCTCAGAAATTTTTTATTATCACATGACTGTTAACTTAACATTACTGCATAATGTGGCGAGACACTACCCATAAATTTTAATCCTGATTTACTTCTACCTCCACTTCTACAGTTGTATAAAATTTGACTTCTCGGGCTATTTTGGTTTGTGCGCTCCTGTCAAAGTACAGATTCGAGAACTACCAGCATATATGAATGCATGTCGTTAGCTGTTAATTTGTACTAGGTACTGTAGGCTGTGCGAACTTCACAAAAGATTCTTCTTAGTCGCCACTAGCCAACCTAAAAGGTAAATTTTTGAAATTGATGATTAACAATTGATTTGGAGCTGAAATATTGCCCAGAAGTCACGCTAAGTCGATCCATCACAAATAAATTACGGAAACCGTAATGGAAGTGCTGAAATGAAAAATTTTTGAATTATTGTATTCGGAATGAATGTTTTTTTCTTGCCGTAAATGAGGTTCTCCCCTTTTGATCCAATCTAATTATCCCCTTTAACGAACCTAGAACCCTTATCAACAATAACTGTATACAATTAATGCCGTAAAATAAAGTAGATGGAGTGCACTTATACACCAACGCATTCATGCAAAATTTCAAGGGCTGCAATTTTTATCACTATAGATATTGGCATACCTTGACACCTTTCCAAATCACAATATTGGCGGCAAAAAAGCTTCTATTCTATCATACATCCATGTATAAGAAAAACTGATGCTATAAAAATGCTTCACTGTACCAAAAGTAATATAAAGGGCGCAATGTTTAGTAATTCAAGCAGAATTATTTACAATGATTAAAAATTCAAAAGTTTGCCAGGAAAAAAATCGGTGCTTTTTTTCTTTGGGAACGCTGTTGGTTTACGTTTCAGCATCAACACAAAGGCATTCAAGTGAGAAAATATTCACATGTGCACTATTCATTCATCCTTGATTATTTTTGTGCCTAAGATATCACCGATATGGACACACTAAGAGCGTTACACAAAAAGAAAACCTGCTTGCAAAGAACAAAAAATTTTAAACCGATAAAGTCAAAAAGGAGATTATGCTACTTCACCTCTTCATTTCAGAACGATGAGTCAGCAAAGGATCAAAATTTCTACACTGCCAAAACAGTCAGTGATCCTGGGAAAGTTTTCCAACAATGAAATGAAACCACAACTACTTACCAACCCAGCTGAGATTAAAGTAAAACCTCTTCCTATTCGCCCTTTTCCTTCACCGTCTTCAGTCTTCAGTAAGCGAACTAGTTCTGGGACACATGTGCAGTTCATGACGAAACGTAGCCAGTAACTTCCAAGTTATTTAGCTGAAAAGCGTAAGCTTTCTGAGTTCTGGATCTTGTAAAGGAAGGGTTAAACCGACAAAAACTACATTCTCAAGATTAGGAAAGGCGGATACAACAGGCCATCCTCCTCAACCTAATGGCCCAATTTTCGCGTGTGTCACTTCTCTGAAACCATTCACTAGCATCAAGATTTCTTTATTCCCTGTCGGCTTTTCTTCCAAGTATTAATAAATTACCATTTCATCTACGTCCACACCTTTCCTCTGAACGGCGGATGGGGCAGGAAGAGGGACAAGGCAGATAAGTTGGCGCTCTTATTGGTATAGCGCTGCAACAAGTATAACTGATTGGGAGCGCGGGTCAATTTTAAATTTAAATTTTTTGACTGGCGTTTTGTGCTTCGCTTTTTGTTTTTGTCGTTCACTGAGTAGATTCCGTTTATACTGTGAATTTGGGTGTTTTAATAAGGCGATAAAA